GTCATTAAAAAGACAGGAAAGAAAGAAAAGACCAAAATGGATGTCAGAAGAGACTCTGAAAGTTGCTCTTGAACGTCGAGTAGCTAAAGTGAAAGGAAGAATGATGAACTAAAAGAGCTAAAGAGAAGAGTTCAAAGGACAGCTTGAGAAGACAAAGTATTATAATGACATGTGCAAAGGCCTGGAGATAGAAAACCAAAGAGAAGAACACACTCGGCATTTCTCAAGCTGAAAGAACTAAGGAAAAAATGCAAGCCTCAAGTTGCAATATTGAAGAATTCTATGGGGAAAACATTAAACAATGCAGGAAGCACTAAAAGAAGATGGGAGGAATACCCAGAGTCACTACACCAAAAAGAATTGGTCGACATTCAACCATTTCAGGAGGTAGCATATGATCAGGAACCAATGGTACTGAAGGAAGAGGTCTAAGCTGCACTAAAGGCATTGGTAAAAAACAAGGCTACAGGAATTGACAGACTACCAACTGAGATTTTTCAACAAATGGATGCAGCACTGGAAGTGCTCATTCATCTATGCCAAGAAATCTGGAAGACAGCTACCTGGCTAAATGACTGGAAGAGGTCCACATTTATGCCTATTCCCAAGAAAGGTGATCCAATCGAATGTGGAAATTATCGAAAAATATCAATAATATCACACACAAGTAAAATTTTGCTGAAGATCATTCAAAAGCAGCTACAGCAATATATAGACAGGGAACGGCCAGAAATTCAAGCCAGATTCAGAAGAGGACGTGGAACCAGGGATACCATTGCTGATGTCAGCTGGATCCTGGCTGAAAGCAGAGAATACCAGAAAGATGTTTACCTGTGTTTTACTGACTACGCAAAGGCATTCGACTGTGTGGATAATAACAAATTATGGATAACATTGCTAAGAATAGGAATTCTAGAACACTTAATTGTGCTCATGAAGAACCTGTACATAGATCAAGAGGCAGTCGTTCGAACAGAACAAGGGGATACTACGTGGTTTAAAGTCAGGAAAGGTGTGTGTCAGGTTTGTATCTTTTCACCATACCTATTTTATCTGTGTGCTGAGCAAATAATCCAAGAAGCTGGACTATATGAAGAATAGGGCATCAGGATTGAAGGAAGACACATTAACAACCTGCATTATGCAGATGACATAACCTTGCTTGCTGAAAATGAAGAGGACTTGAAGCACTTACTGATGAAGATCCAAGAATACAGCCTTCAATATAGATTACACCTCAACATAAAGAAAACAAAAATCCTCACAATGGGACCAATAAGTAACATCATGATAAACAGAGAAAAGATTGAAGTTGTCAAGGATTTCATTTTAGTTGGATCCACAATCAACACTCATGGAAGCAGCAGTCAAGAAATCAAAAGACGCATTGCATAGGGCATATCTGCTGCAAAAGACCTCTTTAAGTAAAGTGTTGAAAAGCAAAGATGTCACCTTGAAGACTAAGGTGCACCTGACCCAAGCCATGGTTTTTTCAGTCACTTCGTATGTACGCAAAAGCTGGACGATGGATAAGGAAGTCTAAAGAAGAACTGATGGCTTTGAATTGTGGTGCTGGCGAAGAATACTGAATGTTCCATGGACTGCCAAAAGAACGAACAAATCTGTCTTGGAAGAAGTACAAGCAGATAGCTCCTTAGAGGCAAGGATGGCGAGACTCCATCTCACATACTTTGGACATGTTATCAGGAGGGATCAGTCCCTAGAGAAGGACATTATGCTTGGTAAAGTAGAGGGTCAGCGAAAAAGAGGAAGACCCTCAAGGAGATGGACTGACACAATGGCTGCAACAATGGGCTCAAGCATAACTAGGACTGTCAGGATGCTGCAGAACCGGGTAGTGTTTCGTTCTGTTGCACATAGCGTCACCATTAGTCAGACTCGACGACACCTAACAACAACAACAACGCACCCAACAACAGAATATACATTCTTTTCAAGTGCTAGGTATGTTCCTCAAGATAGGCAATATGCTAGGTGATAAAAGAAGTCTCCATAAATTTAAAAGAATTAAAATCATATAGAATACAATCTCTGACCATAATGGAATTAAATTAAATATCAATAACAATAAGATATCTAGGAATATTCCAGACATTTGGAAATTAAACACATTTCTGAAGAAATATGGGTATTAATGTATTTCTGAAGAAAACATACATGGTTCCAATAGGAATTAGGAACACCCTATTTATTCTTAAAGACTCTTACGTGCCAGTCAGAAATAGAGAATATGTACAGTTCTTCATTCATAAATTCAAAAAATATCCTTAAAACACACATTTCAGATATGAGGAAAAACAAAGTATACAGTACGGACAAAAAAAAAGCAATCTGGAGTGGGTGAAAAAGGAAAGATAAAGATAAAAAAAAGTCTAAGGTATAGAATAAGGTATTCTAAACCTTAGACATTTTATGGTATCAGAGGAGTCCCTGGGTGGTGCAAACAATTAACGTGCTTTGCTGCTAACTGAAAGGTTAGTAGTTTGAGTCTACCGAAAGGCATCTCAGAAGAAAGTCCTGGCAATCTACTTCTGAAAATAATCAGCCATTGAAAATCCTATGGAGCACAGTTCTACTCTTACATACTGTATTTTACGCAAATAATGCGTGCCTTCTACATTTGTTTGTCAACTGCTCCCTAACCCTGCAAGGTATTTTCATAAGCACACTATGCTAAATTTTTTACAGCAATATGTAAAATACATTTACATAGCAGCGCTTATGCAAATACCTCTCAGGGGGAGGTGGTTGGCAAACAAACATAGAAGGTACACATTATTTGCATAAAAATACGGTACATGGGGTCTCCATGAGTCAGAATCAACTCAACAGCAACTGGGTTTTACTGGTTATGGTATCAGAATTCATCCTAACCTTTGGGCACCTCGGCCAAAAACCTGGCATCAAAGTCAATTCAATTCAGAATCCCCACACATGGCAGACTGGAGGTCAAAACCAACATAACTTCAATGCTCTCCAAAACAACAGGGTAAGCCTGAGCCTGGGCAAGATCATATTTCTCAAGAAAGTTTTAGACAAAGGTTGTTGTTGTTGATGGCTCCAATACCCTTAAGCACCCCAATAGCAGTCTCAATGCAAAGAATACCAGCTCAGAAATGTCCAAAGAGCAAGAAAAAATAAAAATTAGATTGACTTTTTGTGTCCTCCATGGTAGAGAACCAAGGGGAAAAAAAAACCTCTTCATATTAGATTTTTACAGTTTTTGTACTGACCTCCTGTATATCCCCCAAAATGTTATTATACAAAGAACTGTATCCTTATTCTAAAACTGTGGACACTGTCAGAGGGAAAATTATTATAAATACAAAGAAATTTGTATTTGAAATTTATATTATCACATTTTAAAAAGTAAGCATCACATATAAATGCCAAAACATGGAACAAAAGCATTTATTAAATCAAAAGTTATCTTCAAAAAATTTAACAAAAAATAACAGATATTCCAGCCTGGAATAAATAATTATCAGTCTTTCTTAGCTTAGTTTCAGTTACAATCCAAACCAAACCCACTGCCGTCAAGTTGATTCCAACTCATAGTGACCCTACAGGACAGAGCATAACTGCCCCGCAGAGTTTCCAAGGCTGTAAATCTTTATGGAAGCAGACTGCCACATCTTTCTCCTGCGGAGCGGCTGGTGGGTTCAAACCACCAACCTTTTGGTTTGCAGCTGCGCGCTTTAACCACTGCACCACCAGGGCTCACTTTCAGTTACAATACTTACAGGAAAATTAGTAAACTTTTCTTTAAAAATATAAATTCTGAATTTTCATCAAACTGGCCTTTCTCCTGATTTTTCTAAATAGTGAAATATTACTGAAATTGAAATAGGTAATATCATACCAATTTACATAAAATAATAGTTTCATGTCTACCTGACATGGTACCTAACATTCTAGAATATATGAAAGAAGACTATATTATACCACCTAGAGATATGGAGATGTAGCAAAATAATCACTAAGAATTTAGAGAGAATTTATCAAATTTACCAAAACTTACTTCCACTAAATATCCAACTACTTTGATACTAACTCAAATATATTTTCTCACCTGCAGCTTCATTTCCTCTAAGTCTTTAGTTTTTTCTACTAATTCCTCTCTTAGCTCTTCAAGCAGCAGCTGAAATTTTTCCTGGTGAGTTTGCTTTTCATTTAATAGTCGCTTGAGTTCATTTTGTGACTTTATGTACTCATCCTGCAACCTGATTTAAAAAAGAAAAGAATCCAATGTTAAATGTACCCTTTCCTTTTAATTGCATTACTTTATGTAAAGTCAACCAACACTACAGAAGAACAAGACCAATAAACATTTGATTAAACTGGCAAATACCTTTTCTTTACTGAGTTTAATTATTAACACTAAAGTTTTTTAATGCAATTTTGAGGGAAAAAAAACACATTTAGCTCACCTAGATACATTTAATCAGATATGTCTTGCTACTTTCAAAACAAGAATTTCAGAAAATTCATACCCACTTAATTATCAGGATCAGTTTTATACTAAGCAAATTTAAAGTAAAAATTTTACTAAAAAAGTTTTAAATGCAAAATAACAAAATTATACTCTATCTTCCAGAGTAAACATTCAGTCAAAACTGTCCTAATAACTTTATTATTTTTACCAAGCCCCCAACTTCTAAATTTAAATAATTTACCTTGTATGTTCAGCTTTCAGAGTCTGATAATTTGTTTTATGATGTTCACATCGTAACCTTTCATCAATTAACATTTTTTGGAACTCAGATTGAGAACTAGTCAATCCACCATCTCCAGCAGGAGGGAGAATGTTGGGAAAGGTGTCCATATTGGTAAGTAAGCTGACAACCATGTAAAAATAAATTCTGCCTTCCCCAGAATTTTAGTTTTCTTTCCAAGAGGATTTCCCACTGCCTTCTTGCTAAGACAGAATCTCAGGAAGCCAAATTATACCTGCACAGAGAAATATGCTTCATTAGTGATCAATAAACTTCCTTCAGTATTATATATTTTTATCACTTATACTCTTTATCATTTCTATAATAAAACTCATTTTTCAGATTCTTAATAAAACAAAATGCAAAAATAAAGTTGAATCATAGTTTAAGAAATTTTTTTACACACAAAGCTTCCAGAGACCATCACAGTCACATCTGCAAGTTTTAAATCTAACTAGAAGTACCAGCTTTTCAATTCCAGCACTCTCTGATTTACAAACCATGGAGTCATGTTTCCTCAAGCTACTGGGGCAAGCTTCAAGGCCACCCAGGTACAACACCCATACTCCCAAAGCAAGGGAAAAGCCATTTGAAACTTGATAAGTAGCTGCAGAAAATCAAAGTCTTCACAAAGACTCAGCAGTGATTGATACTACAAGGGTCTCTCATTTGACATAAGGCAAACTGCACTCAAGCTGCGGATTCAGATGTGAAATCAGTCGACATATAAATATTGATCACCCCCTATGTACTATGTACTATGCTAAGAAGGAAACTAAATCACCTCAGTTATCCCCCAAAGCACTGACCTAGTATTATGAAACTAACTAAATATTTGTTGTATCTAGAAGTAAAAAATGATGACAAAGTGTTCTTATTGTAAAAAAAAATTAAGAACACGAATTTTAATTAAAACAGTTCTCTCCCATTTAACTTCATTAATCTTTCTCTAGACCATTTTATATTTTTTCCCTGATGGCATTCTCCCTTAGTCATGAGTTACTATGAATTGCCTTTTCTTGCTCAGAGAAAAGACCTTTAGCCTATATAAACCAACTATTAAATTACTCAGTCTTACCTGAAATACACCATTTCTGATAAATTAGCGTGATGTCTGCATATTGTGCGTTGTTGTTGGGTGCTATTGAGTCGATTCCAACTCATAGCAACCCCATGTGACAGAGTAGAACTGACCAATAGAGTTTTCTAGGCTGTAATCTTTATGAGAACAGAGCACCAGGTCTTTTCTCCCACAGACCCACTGGGTGAGTTGGAACCACCAAACTTTCAGTTAGCAGCCGAGTGCTTAACCATTTGCACCACCAGGGCTCCTTTCATATTACATAAGACTTTTAAACTGTAATTGAGGCTGCTTTGGTTTCCTGTCAAATTATATTTTAATGCTGTTGTTGTTGTTAGGTGCCCTCGAGTCCGTTCCGACTCAGCAACCCTATGTACAATAGAACAAAACACTGCTGGGTCCTGCACCATTTTCACAATCGTTAGGTTTGAGCCCATTGTTGCAGCTACTGTGTCAATTCATCTTGTTAAGGGTCTTCCTCTTTTTCACTGACCCTCTACTTTACTAAGTATGATGTCCTTCTCCAAAGAATGGTCCCTTCCTGATAACACGTCCAAAGTATGTAAGATGAAGTCTTGTTACCCTCACTTCTAAGGAGCATTCTGGCTATACTTCTTCCAAGACAGATTTGTTTGTTCTTCTGGCAGTCCATGGTGTTGTCAATATTCTTCGCCAACACCATAATTCTAAGCCATCAATTCTTTGGTCTTCCTTATTCATCGTCCAGCTTTCACATGCATATGAGGCCACTGAAAATATCATGGGTTGGGTCAGGTGCACCTTAGTCCTCAAAGTGACATCTTTGCTTTTTAATACTAAAGAGGTCTTTTGCAGCAGATTTGCCCAATGCAATGTGTTCTTTGATTTCCTGACAGCTGCTTCCATGGGCGTTGATTGTGGATGCAAATAAAATGAAATCCTTGAAAATTTCAAATCTTTTCTCTGTTTATCATGATGTTGCTTACTGGTCCCGTTGTGAGGATTTTTGTTTTCTTTATGTTGAAGCGTAATTCATACCTTAAGCAGAAGTCTTTGATCTTCCTCAGTAAGTATTTCAAGTACCTTTCACTTTCAGCAAGCAAGGTTGTGTCATCTGCATATCGCAGGTTGTTAATGTGTCTTCTTTCAATCCTGACGCCACATTCTTCTTCATATAGTCTGGTTTCTCAGATTATTTGCTCAGCTACAAATTGAATAAGTAAAGTGAAAGGATACAACTCTGACACACATCTTTTGTACCTTTAAACCTGTTCACCATGGGCGACTCTGCTGGTATTTGAAATACCAGTGGCACAGCTTCCAGCATCACAGCAACATGCAAGCCACCACAGCATGACAAACTGACAGACGCATGGGGAGCTTCTGGTATAATAGCAATATTGTTTACTATTCATCCACACTTACAACCCTGAAGCCTTCTCTGCTTTCTCTCTTAACTTCCCATATATAAACATCAAACACTCTTCCTTTAAAATGTTTATTTTATCCATCCCATTCTCTCCATTCTTACTACCACAAAAAGTCAAGCCCTGATCATCTCATAACTAGAATATCATAAGAACTTTTTGTTGTCCCTGCTTAAAATATCTTTTCTCTTTGGTCCAGTTCACAAAGCGCTACCAGATTAACATTTAAAATTTTTGTTTTGACTTCTCATTCTAACTCAAAAGCTCCTACATATGAAACAAACCCAAAACAATCTAGTCTTAAGGCCCTACACAATCAGCACCAACCTACTTTGTTTAATTTCATCTCCTACATTTGCCGAAAACGTCCTACTCTAGCTAAAATGCTCTACTCACTCCCCCTGAACAAACATCGTATATGTATCATGCTTTTGCAGCTTTTGTCTTGGTTTATGAATCCTACACTAATGAAAACAGACCACAGTATTAACTATGATCACTAACTATTCTCTAATTCTGTGATAACTGAATATGAATAGGCTTAAATGTAGTAGGCAAATTTTATTTTAGATATTAAAAAGAATTTCCTGACTCAAAGTTATGACCCCCTGGGTTTCATTTGCCAATACTCTTTTGCAGAACTTTCTCAACAAGGGATATTAAGAATATCTCAGCCTAAAATTACTAACAGACTTTGTACAATTCTTTTCAAGCTCAGAATGAATTTTATACCTGTTTTTACATAAATAATACATAATCAATCAATGATAATCTTGGAAAACATAATTACAGCAGTCCTCAAAAATGGTGTCATAGATAAAAAGGCCTCACGAACATAATTCTCTGACCTTTAAATGTGGTTCTGTCATTCAATACGCAGGGTTACAGAAAAAGACCTTCTATTTATTACATTTACTATATGAAAGAAGCTTTCAGATGAAAACAGAAAACCCTAATTTGACTGTCTTAAACTTTTGGAAAACATATTACCGCTCTATTAGAAAAAAAATATGCAGATAGTCTTCTACTTCCTGTAATGGAGGTTTAAGAAATTTGGATGAAGGCTTCCCTGTGGATAACTAGAAAAGCAGGATACATATTTTAAAATTCTGCTCAAAGGCATCTGTGATGGTTAAGATTGTGTGCTAACTTGGCTGGGCCACGATTCTCAGTGTTTAAATGTGATCACTCCCATGACTGAATATACCATGAGTAGCCAATCACATGAAGCAGAGTTTCCTCGGGGCTGTGGCCTGCACTGGAATATAAGCAGACGTTTTCATTTTATGCTCACCCTGGATCCTGCACCTGCCTCCTGTCGTCTCATCTCTGGTTCCTGGGACTTGAGCTGTCAGCTTATCTGCCGAACTTGGGATTCATCGATCTTCACAGCCTGTGAGCAGAGCTCTGCTCTCTGACCTGCCGATCTTGGGTTCGCCAGTCCCTGCAGTTACGTGAATCAGGAGAAACCTCGTGGTCTTGCCTGCCAATCTTGGAATTCGTCAGCCTTCACAGCCTGTGAGCGGGAGCCCTGCTCTCCGACCTGCCGATCTTGGGCTCACCAGCTTCTGCAGCTGCGAGATTTGGGAGAGGCCTCTACCCTGATCCACAGACTAGGGACGTACTAGCCTCCACAATCGCATGAGCTGTTTCCTTGATTTAAATCTCTATATATATATTTATACGCTTTACTGGTTTCGCTTCTCTAGAGAACTCAGCCTAAGACATTTGGTACTGGGAGTGGTTCTAGAGAAACAAATTGTAACGATGAGTTTTCTAAATTGGTCCTCAAGTCTGGTAGTCTTAAAGATGTTGACAACTATGCTTCCAGCAGTAAAGACAGCACTGCTAGTTCATGGAGCAAGGTGGTGATACAAACACACAAAATATCACCACCAGTAGATCAGCTATTGCTGAAAGGCGAGGCTCTGGGTGAACATATGTGTGATATCTTTCTACAGCTTTGTCAGAATAAGAAGTATAAGGAAGCTGGTTTGTCCTAAAGAGATGCTATCAGGGCGTCAGAGTCAAAGCTCAAGCGCCGCATACGTGACCTCAAGGTTTCCACTTGTGCTTTGAAAGAAAGCCTTATTTCTTGTAGTAACAGAGCTGAAATTGCCAAAAACCAAATCCCAAGTCTTACGGTAAGAGTAGCTGAATTACAACGCCAGCTCACTTGCAAACCTCGAGAGGTGTCTGAAGTTAAAGTAAGAGCACTGACTGGGAAGAAATAGGACCCTGAAACTTGGGATGGGGACATAAGGGCAGATAATCAGGAAGCTGGGGACACTGAGACCATAAAGTCCGCTGAATCACTCCTGCCGCAAAACCAGTCCCATCTGAAGAGATTACTTCATGTTTGTCTACTATACCACCCTGCCCAGAAAAACCACTAGCCACTCTACTCCCGTCTAATGAGATTAGCCCTAGCCCAGCTGCCTCTAAAGAGCCTTTCCCTGAGTCATTGCCTGGGACATTGCCTGAGGCAGATGCTTTACAAGACAATGCTGAATATTCTCAATTCTGGCTTCTAGACCTATAATTAGGCTTAAGTCCCAGCAAGCCCCAAAAAGTGAAATACAAACTGTGACCCAGAAGGAGGTATGCTACACTCCAAAAGAACTACTCGCCTTTTCTAATATATACAAACAGAAACCTGGGGAATATGTATGGGAATAGCTATTAAGGCTATAGGATAATGATGCAAGGAACATAAAGACGGATCAGTCTGAGTTAATTGATATGGGT